TGCTGCTGCTGCTGCTGGTTCTGGCTGGGGTTGTGATGAGCAGGGTTGTGGTGCGGATTTTGACCGAACTGGGACGGCGCTCCCGCCGCCGCCGCCGCCGCTGCTGCTGCTGCTGCTGCTGCTGCTGCTGGAAGGGTGAGTGTGTGTGTGTGTTTGCTGCAGCAAGGAATTGGTACTTGACAGCAGCAAGAGAAACTGATGGGTCTTTGCGGCTGCAAATGAGTGAACATCAGAAGAAGCAGCTGCTGCAGCGGCTGCCGCCGCGGGACATTTTCCAGCTGCTGCCTTTCCGAGTGGACCCCGAAGCAGCAGCAGACATCGACGCAGTCATTCTCTTCAAATTCGTCCCTCCCCCAGGAGCTGCTGCTGCTCCTGCTCCTGCTGCTCCTGCTGCTGCTGCTGCTGCTGCTGCTGCGGAGCAGCGCGACGCGCAGAAGGAGCCCGCCCAAGCAGCGGCGTCCCCAGAAACAAGCAACAGCGCCGACGCGCCCCCGCAGCAGCAGCAGCTGCTGCAGCAGGAGCAGCTGCAGCAGCTGCAGCAGCAGCAGCAGATGCAGCAGCAGCAGGTGCGGCGGCGGCAGCAGCAGCAGCAGCTGCACTGCGTGCACTTCCGGAGAGGCATTGTGTTTACCCGCGACGAATGCGAAAGAGCAGCAGATGTGGAAGTTGAAACTACAGAAGCAGCTTGGAGAAGCTTTTTGACAAAAGAAACGGGACTAATTGCTGCTGCAGCAAGAGGGGACTTCAGGGTCAAGGGGCCCCTGCTGCTGCTCGTCAAGTGCCTCGCCTCCATCGAGCTCGACATGGACTGAAGCTCCAGCAGCAGCAGCAGCAGCAGCAGCAGCAGCAGCAGTAGGAGGGATCTGCCTGGAGAGATGCAGGGGCAGCAGCCACGAATCCCGCTGCTGCTGCTGGGGATGGGAACCGCGAAAGCTGCTGCTGCTGCTGCTGCTGCTGCTCTTTGAGCTGAGCAGTCTTAGCAGCAGTATTAATCGCAGCAATGCGGCCCTTAACTGCGAGGTTTAGGGTTTAGGGTTTAGGGTTTAGGGTTTAGCGTCCTTGCTCGCTGAGCCCATTTCCTTCGATTGAAGGCCAAAAAGAATAAAAAATAAAACAGCAAGTTTGTCCAAAGGCTGCTGCAGCAGGCCCTGGTGCTGGGGTGTACGTACACCTCAGCGCTGTGCACACCAAACCCCGCCGGCTTGTCTTGGTGTTAGACCTTTAATTCATTTCATTTATTTCAAATATTAAAAAGTATTCAAATGTATTCAAACGTTATTTCAAATATTATTTATTATTTCAAATTGTCAAAAAGCCGAATATTCAAATCCAGTTTTGTTTCGCCAACCCCGACCTGCCGCCGCCTACTCTACCAGCCACTGTTCCCAAATCCTAAACCCTAGACCCTAAACCCTGAAATAGTGTTTTACAATGGCTTCAAAATCAAACATAAAGAAACCATTGCTTATATTTTTAATTTAAAAAGTGTATTTCACGGGATTTCAGTTCCTGGGCAAACTGCGCTCGGGGGGAGCGCCGGTGGCGACCAGCGGTCTACTTGGGGTGTATGGGGAGAACTCTGGGATTATTTTCGTTTGAAATAAATCTTAAAACGAAAATATATTAAAATTTAATTCAAAGTTTAATTTTATTTTGAAATTTAAAACGAAAAATGCACTTATAGAAGCTGTGGCTTCTCCCTGGCTCTTGCGCGCCGCTCAGAGCAGCTGTATATACACCCCAGCTTCCCCGCCGCTCCGGGGGCTGTCTTCGGCTCTTCTTTCTTTATTTTTTTACTTTTTTCGTTGAAGTAACTTTATTTAAAAACATTTAATCAATTGGGACCTAAAGAGCCCCTTTAGCATCCTTCGCACACCTCAGCAGCGGCATTGCTGCTGCTGCTGCTGCTGCGGGCAGCGAACTGCTGCGGCTTCGGCGCAGCAGCAAAAGGCCTTTTGCTGCTGCTCTTCTTGCCATTTTTGTTTCTGTCTTATTTATTTATTTATTTATTCTGCTGCTCCAGATTTAAATAACAAACAGCAGCAGCAACACGCATGACGTCCTTATAGAAGGCGCTCTCAGCATGCTGCCGCGGCCTGCCTACAGTCGCAGCAGCAAGCAGCGCCGCTGCTGCTTCCTGCTGCTGCTGCTGCTGCTCCAGCTGAGCCGCCCCGCAGCAGAAGCAGCTGCTGCAGCACCTGCTGCAGCGCCGCCGCGACCCGCGGCCGCGGCAGCGCCAGCAGCTGCTGCAGCAGCAGCAAGAGCAGCAGCACCACCGGCACAAGAGACAGCGAGAGCTGCAGCAGCAGCAGCAGCGGAGAGGCCATCACAAGCAGCAGCACCCGTGGCAGCAGCACCGTCACCTGCAGCAGCACGAGTTAAAACAGCTCAAGCAGCAACAGCAGCAAGAGCAGCAGTTCCTCCTGCTTCAGCGGCGGCAGCTGCGCGCCCTGCAGAAGTGAGAGGTGTGGCAGCAGCAGCAGCTCCAGCACCTGCTGCACCATCAGCAGCAAAGATAACACCAGCAGCGACAGCAGCAGCAGCAAGGAGACCAGGAGCAGCAGCAGTAACGGGTGAACCATCACCAGCAGCACGGCCAGAAGCAGCAGCTGTAAAAATTGCATCCAAGGCTGCAGCAGCTACAGAAGCAGCAGGAAGGACAGCAGCAGGACCAGCAACAAATGTCGCGTCAGCAGCAGCAGCACCTGCAGCAGCAGCAAGGGCACCAGCAGCAGCAGCGCACGCTGCAGGAGCAACGGCAGCAAGGACACCAAAAACAGCAGCGCCTGCAGCAGCAGCAGCACCAGCACCAAAAATAGCAGCGCCTGCAGCTGCAGCAGCAGCACCAAAAACAGCAGCGCCTGCAGCAGCAGCAGCAGCAAAAGCACCAGCACCTGTAGGGACTACAGCAGCATCAGCACGTCCAACAGCAGCAAACACTCCTGCAAGAACAACGACAGCAGCAGCAGCAAGCACTCCTGCAAGAGTAGCAGCAACAACAGCAGCAGCAGCAGCAGCACGGCGTGCACAAGCAGGAGCAGGAGCAGGAGCAGCTGATGCTGCAGCTGCTCGTGCTGCAGCACCAACAGTTGCTTCAGCAAGGGCAGCGACAGCAGCAGCAGCAGCGGCAACAGCGAAACAGCCAGCTGCTAAGGTGCCAGCAACAGCAGCACCAGCTGCAGCAGGACGAGCAGCAGCAACAGCTGCGGGCGTGCCGTCCCAAGCACCAGCAAGGTTAGCAGCAGCAGCAGCTGCAGCACCAGCTGCAGCGCGAGCTGCAGCACCAGCTGCAGCGCGAGCTGCAACAGCAAGAACAGCGGCACCAGCACCTGCAACGCCAACTGCAGCAGCAGCAGCAGCAGCACCACCACCACCACCACCACCACCACC